CTACTAACTGAGCTACATCCCCAATCTGAAACAATCTATTATTATTAACAACAAGCCAGCATTTTGGAAGATGGTAGATTCTTATCTCTTGCATTGAGGGATAATCTTTCATAATTTTTATTGGTCTTTTTGAGACAGGGTCTCCCTGTAGCCCCAAGCTGTCCTAGAACTCACTATGTAGACCAGGCTGGCCTTGAACTCACAGAGATCTGCCTGCCTCTGCCTCCCGAGTGCTGGGTTTAAAGGTGTGCGCCACCAAGACTGGCTTATAATATTTTTCAAAGAAGGTTTCTGTTATCGGTGACAGGAACAGAGACAGATCTCCACACTGTCACCTGCAACAGCCTGAGGCATTCGCTTAATCTTTTAGGGACTTTGACCCAGACAAAACTAGATCCTTGGCTTCAAAATAGAAATGGGTGAAGTTGGGTTTATTACTTATATTTAAAATTTTCCAATATTTTATTTATGTGTACGTGTATGCATGTAGGTAAGTGCACCCGTGTCATGCAGTGCCCGTGGAGGACAAAAGAGGCTGTCAGATCCCCTAGAACTGGAGTTTTGGACACTTGTTAGCTGCCATGTAGGTGCTGGGATATGAGCCCTGGTCTTCTGCAAGAACAACCAGTGTTCTTAACCACTGAGCAACCTCTCCAGCCCTTATTACTTGTATTTTAATAGAGATTTTAAGTATGAGGGTCAAGAGAAAGAAAGATGCTCAAGACAGAATAAGACATACCCAAGGCTTCTCAAAGAAGAGTCTTGCTGGGTTTGGTGGTGCACACCTTTGGTCCCAGTCCCAGCACTCAGGAAGCAGAGGGAGTCATATGTCTGTGAGATCAAGGCCAGCCCAATCTACTTTGTGTGTTCTGGGCCACCTGGGGTTACAAGGAGACCCTGTCTAAAAGAAAAGGAGTCTGTAAATTAAATGTCTTAGCATTGGACATATAATTTTATTGACTCTCAAGTTCCAACTCAAAGAGTTGTTAAGAAACATTTTTGGGAGGCTAGAGAGATGGCTAAGTGGTTAAAGGCACTGGATGCTCTTCCAGAGGACAAGGGATCAGTTCCCAACACCCACATGGTGGCTAGCAACCATCTGTAACTCCATTTCCAGGAGATTTGACACCTCTTCTAACCTCCATGGGCATTGCATGACACAGTGTACTTACATGCACACATAATACTCATACACATAAAATATAAGTAAATCCAAAAATAAAAAAGCAACATTTTGAGGGGCTAAAGAGATAACTCAACTGTTAAGAGTATTTACTGCTGCTCCAGACAGCACCCACATGGCAACTAACACCTGTCTTTAACTCCTCCAGTTCCAGAGGATCAGACACCAACTTCTGGCTGGCCTCCAGGGGCACCAGGCACACACATGGTACAGTTACATACATGCAGCCAAAACACTTATGCACATAAAGTAAAAATAAAATCTTTTGGGCTGGAAAGGCAGATAAGAGCACTGGGCTGCTCTTGTAAAGAACCTGGGTTCAAGCCAGGTGTGGTGGCACCCACTTGTAGTGCCAGCACCTGGGAGGCAGAGGCAGGTGGGTCTCTGTGAGTTCAAGACCAGCCTTGTCTACATAGACACGTGGGCTACAGGGAAAACCTGTTTTAATAAAAAAAGAACCTGGGTTCAGTTCCCAGAACCTACATGGATGGCAGCTAACAACAGTTCATAACTCCAGTTCCAGGAGTTCCAATGCTCTCCTCAGGCCTCTACCAGCAATGTACACACATGGTGCACTTACATACAGTCAGAACACTCATACACATAAAATAAAAATAAAATCTTTTTTTTTTGGTCTTTTTGGGACAGGGTCTCCGTGTAGCCCCAGCTGTCCTGGATCTCACTATGTAGACCAGGCTGGCCTTGAACTCACAGAGATCCACCTGCCTCTGCCTTCCAAGTGCTGGGATTAAAGGCGTGCACCACCACATCTGGCCCAAAAATAAAATCTTTTTTAAAAATAAATTTTTCCACTGGGCGTGGTGGCACACACCCTTAATCCCAGCACTCAGGAGGCAGAGGCAGGTGGATTTCTGTGAGTTCAAGGCCAGCCTAGTCTACATAGTGAGTTCCAGGACAGCTGGGGCTACAGGGAGACCCTGTCTCAAAAAAGACAAAAAAAAAAAATTTTTTTTCCCAGGGGCTGAAGAGATGGCTCAACAGTTAAGAACACTGGCTGTTCTTGCAGAAGACCCAGGTTCAAATCCCAGCACCCATGTGGCAGCTAACAACTGTCTGTAACTCCAGTTCCGGGGGGACCTGACAGCCTCTTCTGATGTCTGCAGGCATTGCACAACACAGGTGCACTTACCTACAAGCAGACAATACATGCATACACATAAAATAAAGATAATGAAGCATTTAAAAAAATAGAAAATAAACTTTTCCAGGGCTGGAAAGATGGTTCAGCAGTTAAGAGCACTGGCTGCTCTTGCAGAGGACCCAGGTTTGGTTCCCAGCACCCACATGGTGGGCTAACAGCCACCTGTAATTCCAGTTTCAGGGGATTGGACACTGTCTTCCAACGGAGGCAGAGGTAGAGGCAGAGGCAGGCAGATCTCTGTGAGTTCAAGGCCAGCCTGCTGTACATAGCAAGTTCCAGGTAGTCCCTGATTTTCAGCTGGTGAAAGGCTTCAATGAGACTGTGGTGAGGGACTACTTCCATTTCCGAGTGTCCATAATTTTTCTTGGCTTTCTATTCTGGGTCTGGTCCAATACACATGTGCCTCAGTTTGTCTAAGTTTCAAAATATAGTCTTTTCTTGTGTGGGCTGTGTATATCTTCATTCATTCATTCACATAAGTTGGTAAGAGTTGCTGTCCAAGGGATCTAAAGAAGATATAAATGATCAAGGTTTATTTGTTGATTAAAGTGGCTTATGTCTGGTTTTTGTTGTGATCAGCGTTTTTTGGCAAGCACTGCTCCAGGTATAGGAAATGCATTTCTAGCTAACTTTAGTATGTAATCTAGAAAATATAGAGTGGTCAGTTAATTCTTATGAAGTAGAGCAGGCCAGAAGAAAAAATTTCTGAAAGCTGGGTCTCAATGGGGGTAAGTGTACCTGTCATAAAAATACAATGTTGAAAGCTGCCTTGTGGCTCAGCAGTTAAAGACACTTCCTGCCAAACCTGAGTTCGATCCTGGGAACCCAAATGGTGAAAGGGAGAACTGACTCCTGGGAGTTGTCCAATGACCTCCACATGACCACCACGACATGACCACCATGACATGTACTCTTCCTAAAATCAATCAATGTAAAAAGAAAAGTAAAGGCTGGGCATAGTGCCTTTAATCCCAGCACTTGGGAGGCCGAGGCAGGTGGATCTCTGAGTTCAAGGCCAGCCTGGTCTACATAGTAAGTTCCAGGACAGCTGGGGCTACAGGGAGACCCTGTCTCAAAAAAGAAAAAAAAAGTATAATATAAGGTTGATAGTGCTTTAACAGAAGTGTGCACTTGATATGCAACAGAAACTGCTGAGAGGGCAACCCCATGGGGTGGGATTGGGGAAGGCTAGTTGCTAGTTTAGTTCATATATTAAGTGCATGGTGGGTCTCCAAAGGCAGTTCCAGCAGAAATGGCTCCCTGAAGTCATAGGCAGTAGGCAGTATACTGGACAGATGTCAGGTCTCACAGAACTTCAGGGAAATGAAGCCTGAGGAGCCAGGCCTCTGGAGGTGAACAGCTGTTAGCACTACCTAGATCCTTTAAAACTTTTTTTGTTTGTTTGTTTTTGTTTTTGAAACAGGGTTTCCCCATAGTCTCTGCTGGCCTGGAACTGGTTATGTAGACCAGGCTGGACTCAAGCTCAGAAATCTGCCTGCCTCTGTCTCCTGAGTTGCTGGGATTCAAGGCCTTTGCCACCATGCCCTGCCCCTAGTTATTTAAGATTATTTTATGTGTATGAGTGTATTGTTTGCATGTATGTAAGTGCACCCTTGTGCAATGCCAGCATAGTCAGAAGAGAGAAGTAGAACTGGAGTTACAGATGGCTGTTAGCCACCATGTGGGTGCTGGGAACTAAACCTGGGTCCTCTGCAAGAGCAGCCAGTGCTCTTAACTGCTGTCCAGCCCCTATATATTTATTTTTTTATGTGTATGAATGTATTGCCTGCACTATGTAAGTGCACCCATATTGTACAATGCCCACGGAGGTCAGAAGAGGGCGTTGGATTCCCCTGGAACTAGAGTTACAAACGGTTGTTAGCTGCCATGTGGGTGCTAGGAATTGAACCCAGGTCATCTTCGAGAGCAGCCAGTGTTCTTAACCGCTGAACCAGGCTATTTATTTTATTTATGTCTTTTTGAGACAGGGTCTCCCTGTAGCCCTAGCTGGCCTGGAACTCACTATGTAGACCAGGCTGGCCTTGATCTCGCAGAGATCCATCCACCTATCTCACATTCAGCTTCTATTTATTTATTTTGGTCTTTTTGAGACAGGGACTCCTTGTAGCCTCAGCTGTCCTGGAACTCACTATGTAGACCAGGCTGGCCTTGAATTCACAGAGATCTGCTTGCCTCTGCTTCCGGAGTGCTGAGATTAAAGGCGTGTGCGACCACGCCCTGCCTTTTTATTTTCAATGTGTATGAACGTTTGGCCTACAATGTATGTGAAGTGCACCTGCCCACAGAGGCCAGGAGAGGGCATCGGATCCTCTAGAACTGGAGTTAAGGACGGTCAGTAGCATCGTGGTTGCTGGGAACCGAACCCAGGTCCTAGACAAGAGCAGCCAATACTTGCCACTGCTGAGCCCCTAGATCCTATTCGAAAGATATAGGGATGGTGTTTGCAGTCTGAGGCGGGATGAAGGGGAGATGGGGAAAACCCGCCACGTTCCCACGAAGAGCAGAAAAAGTCATACATGGAAGTCGGGCCTTTGGGGTACTTTTAGAGCCCAAAAGTATCAGGATGGCCACCTTCAGGATCCTCTCTAGCCTTCCTGGGACTCCATAACTCCTGGAACGCTTGAGTCTAAACATCTAGTTTCTCACCGGTCGGCAAAAGCAGATGGACTGATACCGGAGACGTGGAGAACGGGCAGAGAAAGAGCAACGGACTAGGCGGAAGCCGCGTGTAGGTTCCGGGAAGTTGAGCAGACTCTAAGGGCAATTGAACACCTGAGAAGCGGAAAGGTGAGGGTTATGGGGCCTGCCCCTAGCGCAAGCATCCTGGGTTCCGAGGCTGGGACCGGGAGGTGGACGCCTGGGCTTCAGAGTGAGTTTTGCCTCTAGCTGTGTGACCCGGAATAATTTAATTGTGGAATCTTGTTTCCAGGGTCTTTGTAATTGGAGTAATAATAGTATCTGTCTCAGGGTTATGGTAAGAAGTCAATGAAAACACACGTAGAACAGTTTTCTGGCACATAGTGAGCTTCAGTTTACAGTCGTTACAAATACTATCTGCAGCGGCGTGGATTCTGGTGTCAAAACTCACTGTTAGCCTCGGGCCGGTGTTCAGCTACTAGGTTTATTGCTAGAAATTATTAAACAAAAGGAAGTTATGGTATTATTAGAAAAGTAGCAACACTTATGAAGGCCTGGAAAACAGTTTAATGTTACTCGTAATTACACCATTTAGCTTACTACTTTAAGCCTATTTTCCAAAAAAATATTTGTCTAAAAAAGGCTTTTCTTTTGTGGGCTTGTTTTGAGACAGGTCCTCCCTGTAGCCCCAGCTGGCCTGGAACTGTAGAGCAGGCTGTCCTGTGAGATCCACCTGCCTCTGTCTCCCTGCGCGCCGCCCTGCTTTTGTGTTTTTGAAATAGTCTCATAAAGCCCAAGCTCACAGGCATGCACCACCAAATCTGGCCAGGGTGTTGATACTTAAAAGGTGTTCCCCCTGGGGTCTGGAGAGATGTCTCAGCATTACGAGCCCTGGCTCCTCTTCCAGAGGACCAGGGTTCAGTCTCCATCATTCACATGGCAGCTTAACAAGCCCATAAGTCGAGTTTCAGGGGATTCGACGCCCTCTTCTGACTTCCTCCGGCATTTACACGTGCTCTTACACACAGGCAAAACCCTCATACACATATTACTGCCATGCTCTAACCAACTGAACAACAAAACTGAACAACAAAAAACAACCAACTGAACAACAAAAAAGGAGCTGGACACACCTTTAATCCCAGTACTCAGGAGGCAGAGGAAGGTGGATGGATCTCTGTGAGATTGAGGCCAGTCTGGTCTACATAGCAAGTTCTAGGCCAGTTGGGGCTACAGGGAAACCCTGTCTCAAAAACAAAACCCCCAAACAAACAAAACCCCAAAATGATGTTCCCCATGGATATCACCCAGTCATCGAGGAGTTTGTTAGAAATGCCAAATCCCCTTGGCTGGGCATGGTGGGACATTCCTAAACTCCCAGCACTTGGGAGGTAGGGGAAGGAAGATCAGAATTTGAAGGCGGGTCTCTGCTACATAGAGAATTTGAGTTTGAAGCCAGCCTGAGCTACATGAGACGCTGTCTCAAAAAAAGAAATAGAATCTCAGTTCTTACTGCATACATACCATCTTGCGAGCTCATATTTTAATCAAAATTCCCAGAAGATATAAAGAGGTACTTTAGACTTTACAAAGCCCCTTGTTAGGGGAATGATATAGGTTGGGTAAAAGCAATAAGGTTCTGAACCCAGTATACTTGTGACAGAGATACATTAATGTGGAGATACTTACTCAACAAATATTAGTCTTCTGAGTGCTGAGTGTAATACTGGGAGTTGGAGGGCAGCACAATGAATATTCTCCCCTTCTAGTCTGGGATGAGAGAGATTGACAACAAATGAACAGGTCAGTAAACTGTAGCCTGGGATTCATTGGGAACACTTCAGAGGGGCAGTGTTCTTAGTGGAATTGGGTACTCAAGGAGCAGTTTTTCAATGGAGTAACATGTCCACGTCTCAAGGGATAAGTTAGCCAGAAAGAATTTATAAACAGACCCAATCCAGGTTTTGATATACAGTGCTCATTTTAGCCCCTCTTTTTATAGATGAAGTACTTATGTTCAAAGTCATTTGGCCCAGGCTCTGGAGTAAATTACTTTAATATTTTACTTTTTAGAACCCATTGTTTCTTTAAGAATCTACAAGAAAAAAAATCCACAAGAAAAAGTTGCTTTAAAGTTGGCATAACCTCTTGAGGTAGCTTGTGGCACGTACTTGAATTATTTTGTAGTTGACCAGCTGTAGGAAGCTAGGCTGTATTTTTTTTAATTATTTATTTATTTATTTATTTATTTATTTGGTCTTTTTGAGACAAGTTCTCCCTTTTAGCTGCAGCTGGCCTGGATTTGCTATGGAGACCAGGCTGGCCTTGAACTCACAGAGATCTGCCTGCCTCTGCCTCCCGAGTGTTGGGACTAAAGGTGTGCACCACCATGCCCGGCTAAATGTTTTATTTATTATTTTTATTTTATGTGTATGCATGTATTGCCTACATGTAGGTAAGTGCACCCGTGTCATGCAATGCCTGAGGAGGACAGAAGAAACTGTCGGATCCCCTGGAACTGGAGTTACAGACAGTTGTTAGCTGCTGTGTGGGTGTTGGGATTTGAACCGGGGTCTTCTGCAAGAACAGTCAGTGTTCTTATCTGCTGAGCCATCTCTCCAGCCCCTGGGCTGTATTTTTTGTCATGTTGGTAGTTTTGTTTAGTTTTGTTACAGGGTTTCCTGCCTTCATCTCCCAAACGCTGGAATTATAGGCACACACAACCATTCCTGACTTTTTTTTTGAGATAGGGTCTCCCTGTGGCTCCCGCTGGCCTGGAACTTGTTATGTAGACAAGGCTGCTATCCCTGAACTCACAGAGATCCACCTGCCTCTGCCTACCAAGGGCTGGGATTATAGCCATATACCATCATACTTGGTTTTATGTTGGTGTTAGTTCTGCAATTCATAAGACGGGTGCTCTGCTTCTACTAGCTGCCACTGAATAATGTTTACAGAATTAGGAAAAAAGGTTATGAATTTCATAATATAAGTCCTCTGCTGGGTTTGAACTTAGGATGGATTCATTGCCATACTGATAACCAGCGTTTCTTCTGTTATAGGTGACCTTGGACTGATTGTTGAAGCTTCTTTCTGATAGCCAAGGAAATTTTACATTTTGACTATTTCTTACAATGGCTTTGGTTCACAAGTTCCAGAATAGCACTTCTGTTCTCAGAAACTGCCTGAGGCCAAGTGCTGCCTTGAATCCTTTTGGGGCTCTTCACTTTGTAGACTATTCTACTAGTCTTCAGAAACCAGTGGCTCCTCCCAACAGAGTGTCCCAACAGAGGAAGACTGAAGAGGGTTTCCAAAGACATCGTCAGAAAGAAGATGCGTTAGATATAACTTCTCCTGAAGAGAAGCCTGACGTTAGTTTTGATAAAGCAATTATAGATGAAGCAAAGGACCATTTTAGGCGTTTGAAGAATGAAATTGTGGCTCATTGGATAGGGCCAGAAGGCCGCCCACTGCATGAGGTCTTGCTGGAACAAGCCAGGGTTATTTGGCAGTTTCGTGAAAAACAAGATTTGGATAAGTGGATAGTGACTTCTGATAAGGCAATTGGAGGTAGAAGTGAAATATTCTTGAAAATGGGCAAGAATAACCGAAGTGCACTGCTCTATGGAACTCTGAGCTCTGAGGCACCTCAGGATGGGGACAGTAGCCAAAGTGGATACTGTGCAATGATATCCAGGATTCGAAGGGTAGGTAAGGCCTGGGTGTCAGTTTCCTAATCACCTTAATATTAGCATAGCTATAACAGACAGCTTTCTTTTCTGTATATTTGTTATAGATGGGCAACTTATCTCCATATGGGAATAAGTAACTACTTGGCCTAAGTGTAAAATGAAACCAAAGGGAGAAGTGGTTCCTGAGTGATTCCTTGTTTCTGGGCATTATTTGAGGCAAGAGAAGAACAATTTATCTTTGAGGTATTCAGAGAAGGCATTTGAAAGGCTCTACAGAGAGGGGCATCACCTCTCACCTGGATTGAAGTCCCAGTGACCACCCTAGAGTGGGAGTAGAGTCACCCTGTGGCTTTCTTTATGGGTTTGAGACAGTCTCATGTTGCCCAGGCTGGCCTCAAACTATATGTGTAGCTGAGGATGACCTTAAATTCTTGATCCTCCCACCTTTATCTTCTAAGAGCTGTGATTACAGGTATGTGCCACCATCTCTGGCACTTCTTTTAACATTTTACGTTTCTTTAATTACATTTTTCATGATGAAGAAACTGGCCTGGCCTATACTAATCTTGTCAGAGAGGATTAAAGGACAGGTTTTGCTCCTTGCCCTCCAAGGTCAACTAAGTTCCAGGGGGCTATGACCATCTCTTAAAATGTCCTCTAACTGTGGTCAGTCACCTGTCCTCTTGTTCAGGGAGGACATGGAGACCTACCAGATAGACTTGAACCAGTGTCCAATCTACAAAGAGGAGGGTCAACACAGAGAAAACATTTCCTTCATGCTTCCAAGTGAAGCCAGCCACGGTTGAGCAGGACCTTTGACTTATCTTCACATAGATGAAACTGCAAAAAGGAAGGAGCCAGGGGCTCCTCCCAAGCCCATATGACCCCTGAGGAACAGATCCTCAAACGACCTTAAGACTAAAAATAAATTGGTTTATTTGGGCCAACTGTATGGTCTTAAACACCCAAAAGGAAAGTATAACCAAAGATTAAAGTGATCAGTATATTTCTTTAAGAGTCCATGTGTATAGCTAAATACATAACAAGAAACAATGCCAGTCAGGAGATAGATACCTTCCTTTGAGTTGTTGGCCCAGGTGGCCCAAGAGACTCCCAGACAGTAACCCCACATAGAACTGGGAAAATGAACAGCAGACTCCAATCTTATTTAAAGGAATGCTGCCAACTGACTGCTGCTAGATGAGGAAGAACTGATCTTCCTAAAACAAGGAACTCTATATAGGCTGACTAGACTCAGCAGATGCACTTGCAAATGGGGAACGGCTGGAGGCACTGACAACACTGTGGGCAATAACAGGGATGACAGAGTATATGGGCTCTAGTGGCAGCAGGGAGGGGGTGCCATTTGGGATGCAGGTATAAAGATGAATAAGATTGTTTGGGATGTTCTGTATGAAATACACCAAAAAAATCAATTAAAAAAAAAGTTAAAAGAAACTGGCCTGGGAAAATAGCTTAGTTTGTAAAGTGCCTGAGTTTAGATCCCCTGCACACACATACAAAGCTGGGTGTGGCAATTACCTGTAACCCCAGAACTTGGTGAAGTAGAGAAAGATAGATCTAGAAGCTCATGGGTCAGCCAGCCTAGCTGAATCAGTGAGGTCCAGGTTCATTCAGTGAGAGACCATGTCTCAAAACAAGGTCGAGAGCAATAGGGAAAGACACTCAACATTGACCTCTGACCCCTATTTATTTTATATGTATGTGTGTGTGCCTGAGTGTATGTATGTGCACCACATTTGTGTAAGTGCCCACAGAGGCCAAGAAGAGGGCATCACATCCCCTGGAAGACCAAAGTCGGGTTTTCTAAGAGAGCAATACTTACTCCTAGCCACTAAGCCATCTCCAGCCTTTTCTGACTCACACTTTTAATCCCAGTACTTCGGAGGCAGAGGCAGGATGATTGCTGCAAGTTTGAGGCCTACATAGCAAGTTTCAGACCAGCACTGGCCATATAGTCACCATCTGAAAAAACTAAAACAAGCGCTGGCTCAGCATGTAAAGGTGCTTGCCATACAGGCCTGGCAACCTGAGTTTAATCTCCAGAAGCCACATAGAGGAGAGAACTGACTGCACAGAGCCATCCTCTGATATCCATCCACGTGCACACCACCGTGGCTTCTATGCACACAAACATACATCATGTACACTTATACTCACCATAATAAAATTTCCTTTTAAAACTTAACACACAAATTTTTTAAAACCTAGCATTGATCATTCATTACTGTTAATTAAATTACAGATTTCTTTTTTGTGTTTTAAGATAGGGTTTCATATAGTCCAGTCTGGCCTCAAACTCACAGTGACCCTTCTGCCTCAGCCTTCTGAGTGCTGGATTAAAGACATGCACAGCCATGCCTGGCATACTCTTGGTTTTATGGGTACTATGGCTCAAACCCAGTTCTTTCAGCATACTAGGCATGTACTCTACAACCTGGCCACATCCACAGCCCTTCTCTACTTTTTCCAATATTTTTCTCTTACAGGAACTCATCCAGGATAGTATATTACATGTAATCATGTATCCTTAATTTCTCTGATCTATGAGTTTCGGTGCCCCTCCCCCCCATTTTTTTTGGTCTTTTTGAGACAGGGTCTTCCTTGTAACCCATCAGCTGGCCTGGAACTATGTAGACCAGGCTGGCCTTGAACACACAGAGCCCTGCCTGCCTCTTCCTCTCGAGTGCTGGGATCAAAGGCGTGTACCACCGTGCCCGGCTCTGTGCCTTTTTTCAATTAAGAGTTTTATGTATGTATGCATGCTCTTGTCCCCCGTCCCCCCACCCCCACTTCAGTGCCAGTGCTCACATGGATGTCAAAGGACTGTTTGTATGAGTGCATTCTCTCCTTCTGTCATGCATGTTCTGGGGTCCCAACTCAGGTTGTCAGGCTTGACAGCAGGCACCTTTACCTGCTAAGCCATCTTGCTAGCCAGTTTCTGTGTCTTTGCTTACTTTTCTTCTCTCTTCCTTTCTTTCCCTCCCCCCTCCCTTCCTTTTCCTCTTGCTTTTTTCCGTTTCCTCTCCACTTTCTGATAGGATCTCAATATGTTGCCCAGGCTGGCCTCAAACTCCTGGGCTGAAGTGATTCTTCCTACACACACGATAAATAAATGTCAAAACAAAAGGAGTCTAGGGTATAATTCAGTGACAGAGTTCTTTCCTATCATATGTAGGTTCTGTGTTCAGTCGATGCCCACTACTATGAAACAACAAAAAAATAGACTTCTTGTTTTTAGTTTTATGATTTGTGATTGTTTGCATGAAAAATTTCTAACTTATTTTAGGGCTGTCTGGAGAGGCTTGTGTTGGACTCTGGCCACAGTCCCTGGATGTTTGCTTGGATATTATACTTTAGGGAAAAAAAATATGAGTAGTTTTAAACTCCCTCACTCCCTCCATAAAATAATAGAAAAGTATATGTTCTTTAGTTGCAGCCAGTGATACATACAAGTTTTTACTATTTTTCTAATTCCTTAAAATCTACAAAATAGATTTGGTCAATCCAGAGGTTCCCCCACCCCCCATGGAGTAATGAAAAAATATATATATTTTTGCTATAAAAATGCCTTTAGCTGAAATTGACAAGGCCAGGCATGGCCCATGCCTTTAACCTCAGAACTCAGTAGAAGTTCCTCCTCCCTCTCTCTCAAATGGAATTTAAAGTCTAGCTGTGGAGGCTCATACCTGTAATCTCAACACTAAGGAATGCTGAGTTTGAGGCCAGCCTGGTCTACATAGCAAGTTCCAGGAGACCTGGGGCTACAGGGAGACCTTGTCTCAAAAAGACCCCCCCCCACAAAACAAAAGCTTTGTAAATTAACACTAGATTCCTTTTTTATTTATTTTAATGTTTTATTTTTATTTTTTTGTCTTTTTAAAGCAGGGTCTTCCTGTAGCCCCAGCTGTCCTGGAACTCACTATGTAGACCAGGCTGGCCTTGAACTCAAGGAGATCCACCTGCCTCTGCCTCCCAAGTGCTGGGACTATAGGCATGTGCCACCACGCCCAGCTTAATATTTTTATTTTGTGTGTATGAGGGTATTGTTTGCATGTATGTAAGTTCACCCATCTTGTGCAATGCCCCACAGAGGTCAGAAGAGGATGACAGATTCCTCTGGAACTAAAGTTACAGATGGTTGTTAGCCCCATGTGGATGCTGGAATCAAACCTGGATCCTCTACAATAACAGCTGGTGCTCTTAACCGCTGAGCCATCTCTCCAGCCCCCTAAATACCTTTTTTAAAAAGATTTGGGGCTGGAGAGATGGCTCAGCGGTTAAGAGCACTGGCTGGTTAGGGAGCTGGAGAGATGGCTCAGCGGTTAAGAGCACTGACTGCTCTTGCCGAGGACCCAGATTCAGTTTCCAGCACCCACATGGCAGTCAACAACCATGGGCAACTCCAGTCCCAGGGGATCCAATGCCCTCTTTTGGTCTTCGTGGGCATTGCACCATACAAGTACACTTACATGCAGGCAAAACACTCCTACACATAAAATAAAAATTTTTTTTTTCTTTTGTCTTTTTGAGACAGGGTCTCCTTGTAGCCCCAGCTGTCCTGGAACTCACTATGTAGACCAGACCAGGCTGGCCTTGAACTCACAGAGATCCGCCTGCCTCTGCCTCTCAAGTGCTGCAACTACAGGTATGCGCCACCATGCCTGGCAAGATTTATTTATTTTTAAAAATATTTTATTATTTTTATTTTATTTGTATGTGTTGCCTGCACGTAGGTGAGTGTACCTGTGTCGTGCAATGCTGCAGAGGTCAGAAGAGGGCTTCGGATTCCCCTGGAACTGGAGTTAAAGACGGTTTGTAGCCGCCATGTGGGTGCTGAGAGTTGAACCTGGGTCCTTTGCAAGAGCAGTCAGTGCTCTTAACTACTGAGCCATCTCTCCAGTCCCCAATCCCATGAATTTAAAAAAAATATTTTGTTTTTATATTCATGTATGTGAGTGCACCATGACATGCAATGCCTCAGAGGTCAGAAGAGGGCATCACATTCCCCTGGAACTAGAGTTACAGATGGTTGTCATCCACGATGTGGGTGCTGGAAATCAAACCCGGGTTCTCTGCAAGAGCAGTCAGTGCTCTCAACTGCTGAGCCATCTCTCTAGCCCAGCCCCATGATTTTTAAAATAAGTTCTATTTTCTGATGGGGCAAGGCACTTGTCATAAACTGAACCACTCAGAAGCCATTTTTCCATAGAACTAGGGAAATAGTGCATTCATTTCCATTCAGCAAATACAGATGAGTGTCCATCACACCAAAGCTCTCATCTGAGTCAGTCATGTCTTGAACATTATCTTAGAAACACATGTCAGTATCTTGTACTATGGTAATAATGGCCATGTTCATGTACTTCCTTGTGGTAGAAAATATGGACTGGCCTATTCGGCCAGCAAGATGGCTCAGTGGGTAAAGGCACTTGCCATCAAGCCTGATGACCTGAGTTCAATCTCCAGAACCACATAGTGGAAAGAAAGAATTGATTCCCAAAAGCTGTCCTCTGATCTCCATACATGTGCATGGCAAAGAACACACACACATACACACGCATGCCCCCCCACATGCATATAATAATAAAGGAATGAAAAAGATGAAAAACCAGAGGACCACTTGGTCCTGCTGATTTGGTCATGGCTCACATTTTCCATGCAGTGGACAATAAGCTACATTAATTTATCTTTCTGTACTTCAGGGTGCTTTTGAGAGAAAGCTGCCGTACGACTGGTCCCAGTTCAACACTCTGTATCTCCGAGTTCGTGGGGATGGCCGGCCTTGGATGGTGAATATCAGGCAGGACACAGACCTCATCCAGAGAAAAAATCAGATGTACTGTTATTTTATGTTCACCCGTGGGGGGCCCTACTGGCAGGAGATCAAGGTAAAAGCTCATCTTCATTGTTTAAGAAAACAGGGTCTGCTAAGATTATGGTTACATTGAGAGGTCCTTTCTCACACAGATAATTCTTGGAAGGTAGAGGCAGAATGAAGGAAGAAAGAAGGCCTTGGGGAGACTCAAAAGACAAATGGCTTTCCGAGGGTGGTGGTGCATGCCTTTAGTCCAGCACTTGGAGATAGAGGCAGGTGGATCTCTGTGAGTTCAAGGCCAGCCTGGTCTACACAAAGTTCCAGGACAGTTGGGGCTACAGGGAGACCCTGTCTCAAAAAAAGACCAAAAATTAAAAAGACACCAGGTGTCGTCAGCACTTGGGAGGCAGAGACAGGCATAACTTTGTGAGTTCGAGGCCAGCCTGGTCTACATAACCAGTTCCAGGCCAGCCCGGGCTACGTTGAGACCCTGTCTCAAAAAGACAAAGACCAAAAAAAAAAAGACAAATGAATTTTTGTTTCATTAATGAAAATATTAGCTACTAGTACTGAGGATTGAATCCAGAGTGTCTCACTTGCTGTGAAAGTACTTTATACCTCAGCCCCCAGGCTTTTGGTTTTTATTTGTAGGTTCTCACTAAGTTGACACTGGTGGCTTTGACTTTTTCATATTCTTGCTTTAGTCTCCCAAGTGGCTGGGATTTACAGGCATGTATATATAAGGGTATTGTCAAACTGACAAAATCTAGAGTTACCTGGAAGATGGGCCCCAGAGCATGCCTAGGAGGAATTTTTTTTGTTTTTTGAGACAGTGTCTCCTTATAGCCTCAGATGGCCTAGAAATCACTAAGTAGACCAGACTGGCCTCAGTCTCACAAAGCTCCACCTGCTTCTACCTCCAGAGTGCTGGCAGGCACCACTAGGCCCTGCTGTGACAAATTTTCTTAACTGGGTTAATCTGGTGTGAAGGCTTACTGGGACTAAATATAAAGGTGAGGAAATTAATAAGTTGCAGGCCCTCTTCGTGTACCTGAGTATGTCTGTGTATGGGTGTATCCAGAGGGCAGAGGCATCAGATTCCCTGGCACTGGAGTTATGGGTGGCAGTAAACTGCCTGATGTGGATGCTGGGAATTGGACTCAGGTCCTTTACAAGAGCAGTATGGACTCTTAGCCACCGACTCATTGCTCTAGCCCGTCTTCTGTTTTTTTCCCTCAGCATAGCAGCTCAAATCTTCAATTCTAGCACTGAAAAAACCCAGACAAAACCTCATCATAAACTAACAAGAGGGTCTTGCTGTATAATATTGGCCTTGAACTTGAGGTCCTCTTGCGTCTGCCTTCTGAGTGCTGGGATTACAGGCATGTAGTACCACACTGTGCTGCTGTAGTTTTGTTTTCATTGCTGGGGACTGAACTCAGTCCTTGTGCATGCTGAGCAGATGCGGTACCTCTGAGCTACACCTCAGCCCTGAAACGTGTACACTTTACGTAGGAATTTTTTGGGGGGGCGGGGGGCTCTTTGTGAGACAGGATCTCCCTGTAGCCCCAGCTGTCCTGGAACTCACTGTGTAGACCAGGCTGGCCTTGAACTCAGAGATCTGCCTGCCTCCGCCTCCCAAGTGCTGGGACTACAGGTGTGCACCACCATGCCTGGCATACGTAGAATTTTTTTAAAAACATTAAACATTTATGTGTATGAGTGTTTTGTGTGCATGTATTTAAGTGTACCTGTGTCATGAAATCCTGGGGAGGCCAGAAGAGGGCATTGGATATCCTGGAACTGGAGTTAAGGTCTTCTGCAGGAGTAGCCAGTGCTCTAAACCACTGAACTCTCTCCAGCCCTTGCTTTTTGTTGTTTTTAAATATTTTGATTGTTAATTTTATGTGCATTAATGTATTGCCTGCATGTATGTGCCATGGAATGACTGCAAAGGTGTCTCTCCAGCCCCTTGCTTTTTGTTTTTGAGACAGGATCTTGTGTAGCCTAGACTAGCCTTGAACTCACTGTGTAATAAAGGATGACTTTGAATACCTGATCTGTCTCTGCTTTCCAAGTGCTAGGATTACAGGCATGGCCAACAGCATCCAGCTTTCTTTTTTGAATCAGTCACTCCATGTAGTCTAGGCAGGCTTTATACTTGCCTCATGCCTCTGCCTCTGATTATAGGTATGTGCCACCATACCTAGCTTTTTTTTTGGTCTTTTTTGAGATAGGGTCTCCCAGTAGCCCCAGCTGGCCTGGAACTCACTATGTAGACCAGGCTGGACTTAAACTCACAGAGATCTGCCTGCCTCTGCCTCCCGAGTGTTGGGACTAAAGGTGTGCACCACTACGCCCAGCCCTTATTTTTTTACTATTAGAAAAAGCTGTATCCTGTGGTATCCTGCCGGGCATGGTGGCGCATGCTTTCAGCCTCAGCACTCGGGAGGCAGAGGCAGAGGCAGAGGCAGACAGATCTCTGTGAGTTTGAGGCCAGCATGGTCAACATAGTGAGTTCTAAGTCAACTGGAGTTACAGGGAGACCCTGTCTGAAAAAAAAAAAAAAAAAATCTAAACCTTGTGAGATGGTACATACCTGTAATCATAGCACTTTGAAGGCTGAAATAGGATTGCTGCTAGTTGGAGGCTAGCCTGGACTACTGTATCAAAAAACCAACAAAAATTTATAAGTATTTTACACGTCTGTGTGTGTGTATATATACATATATGTGAATTCATATATACGAATAGAATATATGTGTATCTTTGGGGGAGGGTGTAGAACTCAGTGACAAAGTGTCTCCCCAGCATTTCTAAGACCCTGGGCTTGATCTACAGCACTGCAAAAACCTCAGAAAATTGTATCTTTAACCCCAAAAGCTAGCCATTTCTCACACCTGCATTAATTACCTTTTTTTTTTTTTTTTTCAGTGTCTCCCTGTAGCTCCTGCTGGCCTGGAACTCGATCTGTAGACCAGGCTGGCCTTGATCTGAGATCCACCTGCCTCTGCCTCCCCAGCAAGATTAAAAGTACCTGGCCTACTTACTTATTGAAATAGTGTCTTACTGTGTTGCTCAGGCTCGTCTGGAACTACTGAATATAGGTGATCCTTGTACCTTAGTCTGAGTAGCTGGGACTATACCTTTTAGAATATGTAAAATATTTAGAAATGATATTTAAATTTTATCATTGCACTTCCAATAAATGTCTCAAATTCTTATGTCTCAGTTATGAAATAAATGGTCTCTTTTTTCAGATTCCTTTTTCCAAATTTTTCTTCTCAAACCAAGGAAGAATCCGAGATGTCCAGTCTCAACTGATACTTGACAAGGTAACATTTTCCTGTGTTTTTCACTCCATACAATGCCATCTTTAGTGAGCAGAGTTCTATTTTGGAAGGCTGGCAGAGGAAAGTAAAATTTCTGCTCAAGCCACTTCCATCCTAGGGAATATTGGTGTGTTATCTTTTCAGCCTCATTTTAGCTTTACAATAAACTCAGAAAAGCATCAAAGAAATGCCATTTAAAGTCCATGTTGGGGCAGGAGAGATGGCTCAGCATTTAAGGGCACTGGCTGCTCTTGCAGAGGACCCAGGTTTGATTGCCAGTACCCTCATGGCAGCTAACAACTGTAACTCCAGTGCCAGAATTCAGTGCCCTCTTCTGATCTCCACTGGCATTGCACAACAAAAGTATGCTCACACACATGCAGGCAGTACACTCATATACATAAAATAAAAACTAGGAAGAAAAAAAAAAAAAAAAAAGAGTCCATGTTTACTTACTGTCTTAAGTGGAGAAACCTAAAGAGGAGAGAAAGTAGTAGAACATGGGGGAAAAAAGCAGTCAGGCAAGTGTAAGTACAGGGGTATGCCTGTAAATCTCCATGCTTGTGAGGTTAGGAGTTCAGGGTCAGCCTTGATTACATAAGTTCAGGACCAACCTGGGTTATATATGTCTAGAAGAAAGAGAAAAGAAAGCAGTCTTGTACGTACATGTTTGCTGAGGGCTGATGGTGTAAAGACTCAAAGTGATTATTTGTAAGATGTGAAAACTACGGTGCATCAGTGTATGAGATTTTAATCAGTTTCTCTATTTTAAATTTAGATCTCTTCTATAGGATTCACCCTGGCTGATAAAGTGGATGGCCCATTTTTTCTGGAAATAGATTTTATTGGCGTGTTTGCTGATCCAGCCCATTCAGAAGAATTTGCTTATGAGAATTCCCCAGCACTTAACCCAAGACTTTAAATAAAGAACTTGTGGTATATTTGTATTACAAAACTAAGTATAGCCACATCCACATGATACAGACTAAATAAAGCCTTTGTAGCTACCTTTTGTTCTGTAGCTACTGTTTTGTTTTGTTTTTTTCATTTTTCTGTTGTGCTAGGGTTTGAAATTGAACCCAGAGCCTCATGTATGCTAGGCAAGCATGAACTATATTCCTGGCCCAAAATAAAATATTTGTTTAATGGCATACAATGAATGTTGGTACATATTCTTTAAGACATGGTTAAATGCTGTTGCTGAGAGCACAGATACAGACAACATAGCATGAGCTCTGCTTCAGCCCACACAAGTGTTTCTGCAGAGGCGCTATGTAAATATCGTGTTTGTCAGAAATGTTCCTCTATTAGGAACATTTCCTACATGAGTGGGCAGTTTTCAAGGAGTCTCTGGGATGACAAGTGATGGGATACCACTCACCCCTTACTGGCTTCTATTTTGTAGTTGATGTTTGAGGAAGGAGCCTTTCATACATATTGTTGATCTTGAACTATTTCTAGTACATGCTCAAGCAGTATATTCAAATACCAATAACATGAAAAAAGAATTTTGCTTTATAGCCAGGTGTGGTGGTATGCATCTGTAATCCCAGCACCTGGGCATCTACAAGGTAGAGGCAGGGATCAGGAATTCAGAGTCATCTGCAAGTATACAATGAGTTTGAGGCTAGTCTGGGTTACATGAGACCTTGTTTAAATAAATAAATAAGGTTGTTTCTTCCTGGGGGAAAAATGTGAGTAGGTAGGAAAGAAAAGGGAATGTATAAGCTCTTACTGATCTTGTCTGGTCATCCAAATCTTGGGATGCTTAAAAAGAATAAACTTAACACAGCGAAAAACTTTTTTATTATGAAATCTTAAGCATTATACAACTCAGAATCTCTACATGGTAGAGCAAGGAACAAAGATATGCTTAGCAACTCTTACCTTTTCCAGAAAATTAGTAAGATTTAAGTTTGACAGTAATAGTAATCCTTATACCAGCAATTCGCTCCTTCTCTGTTTGGTGGTACTAGGAATCAAATTCATGTAGACAAGTGCTGTACAACTGAGGCATACCCTCCACCCTCAAACTTTGATACAGCCTTGTTTAATCTTTTAACAGGTTGGTAGTAAGAGTGACAGTGGCATTTATATGAAATAATCTGAACAAGGCTTTTACAAGATTAAAACATTTTTCACTATGGTAGAACGTTGATCCTATAATCAATACATTGTCCTAATTTAGTTGGATTACTAGATTTTGTAGACAAAGGGCCTTTCCATCCTACCCTTCTCTATGCTTTCCTTTTAATTTTATTATGATAAGATTCTGCCATAACTGCCATCAGAGAAATGCTTTTGTCCAGAAAATGATTGTAGATCTGTTACTATTAGAACTAGCAGAAAGTCCTTGACATGAAAAATCTATGTTAAGAATCTAATGAGGATGGGTCTCATTAGAAAACTATGTTGTACAAGGGCTTAGGTAAAAACTACTCCCAAGAATTTATGAGCTGCAAAGTGATTGTGTCTTTTCCAAGCTATAGCACATGAAGAACTCGCAGATGCTACACAGACTACGAGCAAAGGTTATGGCAGAAAATGACCTTTGACTAATATGGGGAAAGTCAGTATAAAAATATTTACAAAGGAAAACAAGTTGGGAATAAAGGAATTAGGATTATTGGGCTTTAATCGTAACCAGGCCTCTTCGAGCTCCCAAAACCTTTGCTTTCTTCTCCTTTCGCTCTTGCTCATGTTTCTTCCGCTGTTCTTCCCTAAGAGGGACAGATAGGTTACATGTTAGGTTCCACTGAAGTGCCCACAACAGACTTTAAGGAATCTATCACATTTGTGTAGCACACTTCTGCAGGGCACTGTGCTCTACCTACTGGTTCAAGCATCTACCAGCATTGTCCTAAAATGCTAGAGGCTATTTCCTGTTTTATGTTAACTAAGCATTCTAAAGTCATGCACAGAACACAAACCAGCAGTCACCTGGTGACTGAATTCAACTCTCGTACTTTAAAAATTAGCTTCTTACAGAAGACTGGGGTTTGTATCCCAGCACCCAAATGGCAGCTAACAACTGCCTGCAACTCCAGTTCCAGGGTATTTGACAGCCTCTTCTGTCCTCTACAGGCATTGCACGACACAGGTGCATTTACATACATGCAGGCAATACATGCATACACATAAAAGTAATAAATATTTTTTTAAAAAGCTTTAAATTGCCGGGCGTGGTAGTGCATGCCTATAATCCCAGCACTTGGGAGGCAGAGGCAGGTGGAGCTCTGTGAGCTCGAGGCCAGCCTGGCCTACATAATGAGTTCCAGGACAGCTGGGGCTATAGGGAGACCCTGTCTCAAAAAGCCAAAAGAAAAAAAAAGCTTTAAATGAGGTATCTCAACTCCTAGAAGTCAAAGTCAAACTAACAATACTAGAACAGGAACCAGGGTCTACTGATTAGAGAGGATTAAGAAAAGAAAAAAGAAAGGTGCCAGGCATGGTAGAACATGCCTTTGATCCCAGCACATGGGAGGCAGAGGCAGGCAGAGCTCTGTGAGTTCAAGGCCAGCTTGGTCTACATAGTGAGTTCCAGGTCAGCTTCATGAGGTTACAAGGAGACACTATCTCAAAAAGACCAAAAAACAAATAGAAGAAAAAGTCAAGTCCAGGATCATGTTATCTTACAGTTAATAAAAGGCCTTGGTAGAAGTTGGATATAGGTAAGTGGCAAATGATAGGTAACCTATATTAGGAAGAGTCCCAGGCAGGGAATTGGACTCAGTTGCATAGCTGCAGCCTAGCCTGACCTGACTCTGACTTGGTTCTCCTACTAATAAACGAAGCCTCAATGTTGACCGGTGTGGGGCTTCCTGCCTGGTTTGCTTGGGAGTGAGGAATTTACATCTGTTCAACTTAGGTGTCCCAAGCACTTGCCCACAGGTGTCTAGAGGGATATTCATGTGCACTGTGTGGGAAGGTAGGTCCTACAAGAACCATGTTCTGAATTGGTCTTGTGAATAACCTATAGAGCCTTGGGAAAAAAGCAGACATTTGGGGCTCATTTCAAACCAAACTTGGAATCCATTTTGCTAGAGCTGCACATGTACTTTAATGTGGTTTTTGTTGTTGTTTTTAAGATAGGATATCATGTATCCCAAGCTTGTCTTGAACTTGCTATGGTGCTGAGGATGACAATGAACTTCTAATTCTCCAGTCCTGTGATTGAACCCAGGGCTTTGTGCATGCTAGGTATAACCCCAACCTCACTTTGGTTCTCTGCTAGTTTGTCCAAGCTTGGTCCTTAATGTAAGAGTATTGAGAGGTGGCTGAATCTTTAACAGGTGATGCCTAGAGAGAAATAACATTAGGTAACAGGGGTACCACCCTTGGAAAAGTTTAATGCCAAACCCCCAGTTAGGTCTCATGGAGGCAGCTCTTAAAGACAATACAAGCCAGATCTGGTGATGCATGCCTTTAATCCCAGCACTTGGGAGGCAGAGGCAGGCAGATCTCTGAGAGATGGAGGTCAGCCTGGTCTATATATCGAGTTCCAGGCCAGTTGGGACTACAGGGAGACCCTGTCTCAAAACAGAACAATACAACACTTTACGACTGGCCTATTCTTCATGTTTTTCCTTCCTCTCAAAATGTACTAATGCCATTTGCCATGTTGTTACACAGTTTGAAGCTCTGCAAGCATCTTGGACTTCTAGAGCCACGAGCCGAAATAACTTTTTCTTTGAAGAGTGCCTAGTCTCAAGTTTTGTTTTTTTTTGGTCTTTGTCTTCCTGTAGCCCCAGCTGTCCTGGAACTCACTATATAGACCAGGCTGGCCTTGAACTCACAGAGATCCATGTGCCTATGCCTCCCCAGTGCTGGGATTAAAGGCGTGCGCCACCATGCCCGGCTCAAGTATTTTTTTATAGCAGCACAAAATAAAGTAAGGCACTCTACTTCTAGCTTCCTTAAACAGCACTATTACTGAGACTCTATCCTTCACATGGTTTAGTGTACTGTCTTCTGACATTAGAAAATTTATAAATCAAGATAATTATGTACTCACCTGGTCTGGACACGAGGCTGTTTGTAAGTTTTCTTGTGGAAACTAACTCTGTTTACAGGTTCATTAAGAGAATTATTTTCTTTAGATTGCCCCCATGGTTTCAGCTTTCCTAGTTTAGGACAAAGGAAAGTATTAGGACCTTTTATTCACAACTATATTGTCTTCATCTTTGCCTACTTGCCTATCAACATTTATACTGTTTTTTGCAGATACTTACATGTACATTCTGCAATTTATTTTGATTTTACATTGCAGATATAAATCAGATTTTTTGTTCTAAAAATAAAAATGTGAGTCAGGCATGGTTGTATATGCCTTTAATCCTAGCACTCAAAGAGGCAGGCAGATCTCTGTGAGTTCAAAGCCAGCCTGGTCTATATACCAAGTTACAGGCCAGCCAGGGCTATAGGGAGACTCCACCTCAAAAAAAAAAAAGGTTGTGGAGGGGATGTGCTGGAGAGATGGTTCAATGGTTCAGCCATTAAGAGCACTGGCTGCTCTTACAGAGAACCTGGGTTCAGTTCCCAGCACCCACATGGAAACTCACAACTGTTTTTAACTCTAGTACCAAGAGATCTAACATCCTCTTCTGGCCTCTGTGGGCACTGCACACATGTGGTACACATTCATACATGCAGGCAAAATAGAAAGTTTTTTAAAAAGGGAGCAGGGCTGGAGAGATGAGATGGCTCAGTGGTTAAGAGCACTGGTTGCTCCTGCAGAGGACCTGGGTTTGGTTGCCAGCACCTACATAGTGGCTAACAACCATCTGTAACTCTAGTTCTAGGGGAGTCCAATGCCCTCTTCTGACATCCTCAGGCATTGCACTACACAGATACACGCAGGCTATACTCATACACAAAAAATAAAAATAAAGAAAATATTTTTAAAAAGGGAGGGGGCTGGAGAGATGAAATTGGAGTCGGGGGGTATTGTGAGCTACCTGATATAGGTGGTGGGAACCAAACCTAGGTCCTCTGCAAGAGCAGTAAGTACTCTTAACTGCTGTGCTATCTTTCTAGCCACCCACCACCCCCTAATTTCAGTGAGACTGGAAAAATTAGGTTAAAGTGGTCCATTGTATAACATGATGGTTGTAGTTAGCAATGTATTATATAGCTGGATATGGTGGCTCAGGTTAGTAACTCCAGCACTTGGGAGACTGAAGGAAGAGGATGGCCATGAGTTTAAGGCCACCCTGGGATAAAGAATGAGTTTTAAGTTAGCTTGGGTACAGAGTGAGACCCAGTCTCAAAAAACACCAAAACCACTCTGCTTCAAGACTGCCAATGCAATGTGATGAGCCAGGCTCATGTTCCTGCCAAAAGGCCTTCCCTACCATAATGAACTATATTCCTTGGATACAGTCACAAAAATTCCATACACAAAACAAAGTCAATATTATAATCTTGAAAATAGATTTAAAACGTTCTTTAAAAAAACAAGTGAAGGAAGACAGAAAAAATGAGAAGGTCTAAGCAAGTGATGGTTTGTTATAAAGGATGAGACAAAAATACACATAATCTTAAAATTTCTATGGTCATAGTTTACTCAACTAGTTTAAGGAAGAAAATATAGATCTAGTCAATGTTTATCTGAGAATATTTGGTTTTTTACCCAAGCCTTATCTACATAGCACATGATAATTAAAAGTACCAGACTGGTCGAACTAACCTTATTGGATGCTTAAAAGCCATACTTTAAGGCCTATACTAATGTAGTGAGAGGGACTTAAAAGACAGTTTTTTTATCCTTTGCCCTCCAAGGTCAACTAAGTGCCAGGGGACTATGGAACATCTCTCAAAATGTCCTGTAACTGTGGTGAGTCACCTGTCCTTTTGTTCAGGGAGGACATGGAGACCCCACCAGATGGACTCGAACCAGTATCCAGCTTACAAAGAGGAGGGTCAACTCAGAGGAAACATCTCATTCATGCTTTCAAGTGAAGCCAGACATGGTCAAACGGGACCTTTGACTTATCTTCACATAGATGGAACTTATAAAAGAAAGGAGCCAGGAACTTCTCCCAAGCCCATGTGACCACTAAGGAACAGATCCTCAAATGACCTTAAGTGTAAAATGGTCTTAAACACCCAAAAGGAAAGTATAACCAAAGAGTAAAGTCATCAGTATATTTCTTTACGAGTTCAAGGGATTATACTTCCCAGACATTAGGCTTAAGTCTACATTAAAAGTTATTTAGACAATTATTTCTCATTGATTGTTCCTAACCAGAAAGTGTTGCTCAGATGTAAGACTTCAAATCTTGGTCTCCAATACTGTAGTGCCCACCTGTAGCTAAGGGAGACAACAAGGTATTGTTATAAAATGAAAGATAAATTTGTTTTCTCCCCCTATTTAGAAGTCTTTGAGAGGGAACCGATACTGATTCTAACTACTCCAACAGCTATCAAAATACCTGAAAGCAAATCCTGAATCCATCAATCTAGAGTCCAGCCTTGGAAGACAAAAGAAAAATGAAGAGGAACCCAATAGAGGGATGCTTTTGGAAGCCCTTGTCAAGA